ATTAAATATGTTTATAAGATGTGAGTTCTTATATTTTATGACTGGTGGGTCATGTGTGTATGTGAYGGCTAGAAATGGAAGTRCTYTYTGAGTTAGAGCTTGTCCATGTTCTAGGTGTATCTAGGAATGGAAGTTCTATGAGAGTTAGGACTTGTCGGTTTTCTAGGTGGTGCTAGGAAATAGAGGTCTTATGTGAGTTAGGATCTGTCTATTTCCTAGAGAGAGTCTGGAAAAGAGGTTTTATGTGAGTTAGAACTGTATTTTCCAGAGACTCTGTAGAAACACCCATGGTGGTTGGGTTGTTTCGGATGAACTAGTGATTGGTCACGGATGTGATGACATTCCAGGTGAGGGGATGTCATGAAGACCACGAGAAGTGATTCTGGTCGACAAGTACTTATGAGGCACGTTACAGAAGGTGCACCAGGGAACAAGTGAGGTTTCCTYGGRATACTTGAGGGGACATGTGAGGTTCTCTCCAGGGAACAAGTGAGGTTTCCTGCATATATCTCGAGGGGACAGGTGAGGTTCTCTCCAGGGGACAAGTGAGGTCTCCTGCATGCCGATAGCTTGACGGACTGTGTGTCCCGAGAGTGAGAGGGGCATGGAGCATACCGATAGCCTGATGGACAGCAATCCTGAAGGCGGGAGGGGTGTGTTATACACCGTGATCTCCTGGGTGACGACCCTGGGAGTGTTAGGGATGTATATGTATATGGGTATGAGCATAGTGTCTGTGATGTGATTATGAGTATGAGTTTGGATGAGCTTCAGGGATCGGAAAGGATCTCAGGTGGTGCTGGCCGGATAGGGTCAGGAGTGTTGATGTGATTGGTGTCTAGTCTAGGGATTTTACTTGCGTTTGGGAACCTCGGTTCAGATGACACTGGTAACTTATGTAGCGTCTTGGTTGTGCATGTTCTTATTTGATTGTTTCACGATCAATTGGTTCAACTCTGGGTCTACGGTTCGTCGGGCATATTCTTGTTTGATTGTCGTGCGATCAATCGGGCAGGCCTGGTCTGGACCAGAAAATGTTGTATTCTGGTGTGTTTCGGGTGAAGCTGGTCGGYTTTCGGACGGGAGTGTTAGCCTTAGCAGYGARGGTGTTGTGT